GCTGTAGCGAGTTGTGATGGAGATTGTAGAGACTGAACAAGCTTACGTCAGAGATCTGAAGAGCATCGTGGAGGTAAGACCAGTTTGTGACCAATGACCGTTGTGTCGTCAGTAAACTTTAGGAGCTTGACAGAGGGGTCCTTCGAGATGCAGTCGTTGGTGTAGAGTGAAAACAGCAGAGGGGAGAGCACACATCCCTGGGGGGCACCTGTGCTTATTGTCAGGGTGCTGGATGTGGTTTTCTCCAGTCTCGCCTGCTGCGTCCTGTCTGGCAGAAAGCTAGTAATCCACTGACAGGTGGGGGTAGGCACAGTGAGCTGGGTCAGTTTGGAGTGGAGGATGTCCGAGATGATGGTGTTGAGCTGAAGTCCACAAAGAGGGCCCGTGCATAGGTCCCTGGGGAGTCGAGGTGTTGCAGGATGTAATGCAGTGCCATGTTCACTGCATCGTCCGCTGACCTATTTGCCTGGTAGGTGAACTGCAGGGGGTCTAGCAAGGGGTCTACAATGTCCTTCAGGTGGGCCGACACCAGTCTTTGAAAGGACTTCATTTTCAGATACAACATATGAGAACTTCACAAGGTTTTAAGGTGATTTCCTTTAGACTTTTGTACATCAGTCACTTGTATCTCCCATTTTGTGACCACAAGCTCTTTTGTTTGCTTTTCCACACCAACCTGAGACACACAGAAGACTAATGACTGGTCTCAGTTCTACATTACATTGATAGGAGTTAAAAATACACTGCATAGCTTTGGTATTCTCAACATATTCACTTGTTTACAAGAACCAACACCATTCTGGTTCTGACACACCCAACAGGGAAGTCAACGTGTTCTGCTGGATGTGTCAGTACACTGCGACATCCCTGCAGACCACTTTAACCATCTGAAAGATGTCTTCAGCTGTTGTTGAGTTGCTCCCTAAGAAGGGAGAACAGCAATGTCCAAAACCTCTTTTTAATGTATAATGATTTGTGAATTGAACATCCATCCCTCCATCCATTTTCCCTTTTCCTCCGCTTATCCAAAACTGGGTTGCGGGGGCAGCAGTCTAAGCAAAGATGCCCAACAATGTCCTTCAGTCTTTCAAAGGACTTCATAACTACTGATGTCAGGGCGACAGGTCTGCTGTCGTTCAGCCCACCGATGGGGGACTGGGATGATGGCGGAGCGTTTGAAGCAGGAGGGGACTTCACACAGCTCCAGTGACCTGTTTAAGGTGAGTGTGAAGATGGGGGCCAGCTGATCAGTACAATTTTTCAAGCAGGAGGGGGTCACACCATCTGGGCCTGGTGCCTTTCTGATCCTTTGTTTTTTAAAGAGGCCACGCACATCCTCTTCACAGATGGTAAATGGTAAAATGGACTATATTTTATATATATAAACCTGAGCTTTCAGCTTTTCAGAGTAGCTCCTCTTTGCTGCTCTGATCTCCTTTGTCAGTGTGTTCCTGGCCTGGCTGTACAGAGTCCTGTCCCCACATCTGTAGGCCTCCTCTTTGGCACGACGAAGCTTTCTAGTTTTAGCATAGTTACAATTTAGATGATTATTTTAGTTCTAAGAGGCCATTAGACATTTTATTTATGCCAAACTTCCATCTGCTAATGAAGGTTATGTGATTTGATCAAAAGTTCCACAATAGCTACTAACGAACCTTATGATGAGAGGGTTTTGCTCAAGTCAAGAATGAACTTTCAGTTTCAACTGGAATGATTATTTAAAAGCTATCCAGATATTTATTCAAATTTTATTACAAAAACATGCGTTTCAAAAATAGCAATTAGCAAAACATCAGCAGCTAGATGGTTTTATATTTTCAGTAATTAGCTGTTTCATGACTGACATTAACATGGTGTTCAGTGGTGGGTGTACTATGATTTTTTTACTTATGTAAAAGTAGCGATACCACAATGTAAAAATACTCTGTTACAGGTAAAAGTCAGAGATTCAAACTGTTACTTAAGCCAAAGTACAAAAGTATCAGTGCCAAAATATAGTTAAAAATATCAAAGGTAACAGTAATCCTTATGCAGAATGGCACATTTTATATTGATATGCATTATATTATTTGGTTATAATTATTGATGCATTATTGTTTTTGTCACTTTGTTTCAGCTGGTAAAGGTGGTGCTAATGTTAACTACCTTGTATACTTGGATTACTGCTGGGTAGCTTGTAATTTTGAGACTACAGAAGTCATTAAGAGTTCTATTTTGTGTAGAATTTGGAGAAAGCACTTATGTTAGTTGTGTTGAGCTATTTCAGTTGTTCTTGTTTGATTTCTTTACTGCAAACAGTCGAAAGTCTAATTTTTTTCCATTACACCTACTTTGCAATGGGGGTCGAATAAGCTTGACTACAACTGTAAGTATTCCATTTTATCTTGTAGACAATGAAAAATAAATAAGGTCAACTCAAAAGCTTTGGCAATTTAAAAATAATGGATCAAATGTTTCAGTCACTAGAACAACAGC